CTTCAATATTTGAATCTGATAACAACTCTATTCAAAAGAAATAATTATAATTAGAACTATAAATAATCCCTCAACGATTCCTGTTACTTAATTTAATCTTTCAACCAATTTTGTACTCTTTCAATTTCTGAATTCAAACTTCAGCACTGAATTCAAACTTCAGCATGCTTTCAATCAATTTTCAATTTTCATATCAAGTTGATTAAATGATTATTTAATACAATAGAATGTTGTCAATGATATAAATATATGTAACCAATTTAACAACATTACAGATAATAGGACACCCAAATAGTTAAAATAAAAGGAAAACCTTAGTAATACATAAAAAAGACTAATAGCTAGATAGATATTATTCAGATCAAATTAAACAAGAATCTATTTTAGTTTATAAATCATTAAGAAAAAATTATGATATTTATGTTATACTTTTAGCATTGGGCTTATTCATAATAGGTGGCAGAGGTTCTGGCAATGAAGAGCGGCATGATTTGTTATTCTTATTTTTAATGCTTTCTTTAACATATATCTCATCTGATGTAGAAAGTTGTATTCTTCACAACATGAAAATGAATCTAATTTTAAAAAAATTTGGCTACAAAAAAGTAATTAAGTTACCTTTAAAAAAAAAAAAAAAACAAGTTAGATACTGACTATCTGTTATCTTACACTTTATCAATGGAAATTTGTGCCATTCTTTTATTGACAAAAGGTTGTTTTTCAGTGCATGATTATAGTTTTTTTTTGGGACAATAAATTTGCTGGTATTCTTTGTCAATCCACTTGTTTAGTGCATAATTACTTGGTTAGAAAAACATGCAGAAAAACTTTCCTTTAAAGTTGGGTTATGCTTATACTCATCAGGCTTTTGGTCATAAGAGTATTCATTGTACAAAATCGATGACTCATGATGGTCAAAATATTCTTTTTATTTTAGATTTGCAAGATAAGAAATCATTTCTTTTAGAAGTTCCAACATTCGATTTTTTTTCTATATGTACTGATGAAAATTCTAGTATTTTTTAATATTCTTTTTGGACACGTTTACTGCGTCTCTTTTCGTATCCCCTTTTTGTAAAAGACATAAATGAATCTTGGTTTCTTGATAAAAACGATAAGTTCACAACCAATAAAACAATCTTTTATGTTATTGAAAAACACTCATATTATGAGTGTTTTTCAATAACACAAAAGATTGTTTTATTGGTTGTGCACTTATCGTTTTTATCGAGAAACCAAGATTCAAATATTCATATATATGTATATATATATATATATACATATATATTTATATATATATATATATATATATATATATATATATATATATATATATATATATATATATATATATACATATATATATATATATATATACATATATATATACATATATATATATATATATACATATATATATATATATAAATATATATATATATATATATATATATATATATATATATATATATATATATATATATACACATACATATATTTTAATTACATTATCTTTTATTCTAGAAATAAAAATATCAACTTGAAAATATTAATTTTGTAATATTTCTGCAAAATAAATTTCAAATCACAAGGATTTTAGCAAACATGCTAAGCATCAAATCATCGAAATATTTTGTGAACTATAATAGCATGTTATTTTATTATTTAAAATTTATCAAAAGAAATAATCATTAATGTTTTCCATAGATTAAAATCTTCATGCTTTTTTCGTAGTAAGTTTAAGCATGGTTTTTAAATGGCGGTCATTTATAATTGTCGCTCCGTAAAATTAGTTGATATTTTTTTCTTGTTTTTATAACAAAACTATATAAGACATCTTATAAGATGTCTTATAAGACATCTTATAAGATTTTTTTTTTCATCTAAACTTAGATGTCTATAAGCTTATAGACATCTAAGTTTAGATGAAAAAAAAAATTATCTATGCACGATCTATTTTATGCATCTAAAATGCATCTAAAACAGAGCAAAAATAGTATATCTAGAATCAGACGTCTTTTTGATCTCTAATATACGTCTAAAATATACGTATCAGCAATAGATACAAATTAGACCAATTTTAGACGGTCTAAAAGACGTCTATTGTTTGCTGGGCAAATACTCAAAAATTTCTTATTCGTCTAGTTTTTTTAAAAAAATGCAAAAATGTGCATAAATACCCATACAAATACACACACACGCACGCACGCACACACACACACATACACACACACACACATATATAACATATTTATAACTATTTCTGTCACTGTGTTCCAATTGCTGAGTTTCCTTTAAAAAATATTTTTTTAAATTTATGTTATTGCAATTTAGGGCTTATTTAAAAATAATAGTAGCAATTTTCTTCATATCAAAAATGAGAGCAAAATATTTTCTTCACGATACAAAAACATTCATTATTTATTTTTACAATCTTATTATATTTTTGTAAATTCTTATTACAATTTTATTCAGCAACCTTAGTTCTTAACTTTTCACTCTGATAAATATTTTTATTGGACACAACAAACTGTTCTGTGTCTTTTTTTAAGAATTTTATGCATTACTACAGATGTTTGTACTGATATAACAGCAAGCAAGATCTTCTGCCTATCATGATCCTTGATATAAAACCTGATAGTTGTATAGGTATTTATTTTAATCCCAGAATGACTAATTGTATATAATTAAGTCTTCAACATTACTTATGTTTTAAACGTCTTTTTTGTTTATTACTTTTAAATTTTTCTTATCAACTTTATTGTTATTATTCAGTTATGAAAAAAATATAACAATTTAAAAATTATAATTATTAAAAAATTTGTAGCTATACTTTAGCTTCTTCTCCTTCCGACTCTCTCCTTCTGCTATCAATCCTCATGAACATTGCATAAAATTATTCTGAAGTTAGTTAAATCTTTACAACCCAATTACAAAAATCTTTACAACACAATTGGAAAAGTCTGGAATTTTTTCCACAAATGGAAAAAATTCCAGACTTCCAGCTTCCGAGGAGTTGTAGTGAATAATAACTGTTTCTATAGCAATAGGAAAAAGAATGATTTTACTTTTTGCAGTTAATAATGATGAATGATGAGGATCTCTAATAGTAACCTGTTTATTTTAAACAACAGGAAGAGTGTGATCATTAAATTTTGGAAATAAGGTGTTGCATCACAAACAGAAAATTCAGAGTTCTAACCATTAGGGTTACACATTTTCTATTTTTCACTATTTTCATTATATGTTACATATTAGACTATGATCCAATTGTGTGTGAAAATAAACAAACGCTTTATTTACTTTCCTAACTCAAGTAGTATATTTTAATAAAGTCCAAGTTTCTTGCTGTTGTTATTGATGCATATCTTATTAGGTAAATATTGTTTATTAGTTGCTGCAGAAGAAACTAGAAATTAGAGCACATCACAAACAGCTTAAGACAAATATAGAAATTAAATGGTATTTTGTTTTCATAAAGAAAGAACTTTAGTATTCTTTAGCTTTTTCTTTTTTTTTTCTTATTCTTCTTTATTGAGGAAGCTTACAACTTCATGAGGCTTCTCAATTGCTCCAGCCTTTAGGTATGCAACTTTTTTTCATCTCTGCAGGCTTTATAAAGAGACTTGTCTTCATATAAAACTTTCTTCAAAAAATCTCAATGTTTTGCAGAGCCTTTTGATAAGAACAATGTTCATAATTGGGGAAAATCAATAAAGAGCCACACCAAAATAACATGGATCTAAAAAGTTGCTAATGCCACATTGTAATTTTAAATAATTTGTAATCAAACTATGAAGTTTGTTTGAACTAACAACTTTAAGCTTAAGTAAAAATTTTGTTGTTGAATTATTAAATTACTGAGATAATTCTATTTTTATATTTATATAACTTACCTAAATAAATGCCAGCGCACAAAAAAGCTCTGACAGGATGGTAATATTTAAGTTAGCTTGCGCAATTTAAAAAATTCATTTTTTTCTGCTATTAAAATAAAATAAAATTTAGCGAACAGAATGTTGTGAATAATTACTAAATAAAAAAATTAAAAAACAGTTGAAAAAAGCCACTTTTTATAAAAGTCACACAAATGAGCAAAAAAGTTTTGTTGCAATTTAAAACAAAGTGCTTTTAGTTTTTTCGCTAGTGCTTTTTTATGCGCTTGTTAAAATTTTTGTGGGCATGTGGGCAAGCACAAAAGAAGACTGAACATTGTATATTTTATTTAAAACGTTATTGTATTGTTTTGAATAGTAAATAACTTTTAGTTCAATAAATTTATTATTATTCATCAGGGTATGAAATAAGATTGATTTAAATTCAAAAATTTTCTTGACAATGACAACATTTCTTGACAAAATTATTACATAATTATTTAGATGAATTTTTTTAATAACTTTATTTTTAATTACTATTATTAAAAATCAAATTAATAAAAATGATTTTAGTTACTTACTCACTAGAATTTTTATGTTAAGAAATTTTAGTACTTTACTTTTACATTATTCTTTGATCTTATTGTTTTTAAAAGGCTCCAAACTTTAAAAAAAAAAAAGGTTTGTTAACATTTTTAACTTGTTTAACTTAAGCCTTTAATAAATTTCAAATAAAAATAATTCTTTATTAATAATTTTAACCAAAGTTTCAGTTTTTTTTAGAAGTTTTTGTGAATCAGTTGAAGAGTTTGTTTGAAGTAATAAATATAACTTTGAGTAAAAACTTTTTCAGATATTAAAAAGTTTGTTATAAATAATAATTTTATCCCTAATAACTTCATTCTTAAATCAATAAAAATTAGATTAACAATAATTATTTAGACTCCTTAAATTAATATGAAATTTTATGTCAAATACATAATAGCTATTTTATGTTTATATAAAGTCAGTACATTATAGCTATTTTATGTTTATATAAAGTTATAGTAATAATAAATGTCATTGTCATGAACATGAACAAAATCATAATGATAGCTTTACTAAACATTGTTTTGTTTTATTTAGATTTGACAAGAGTGTCTGCAGAACTCAAAAAATTTTATGTTAAATGTTATGGGAAAATTAGTGAACTTCAACCACTATTAAAAGCACCTGCAAATGTTGATCTTATGGATAAATTTGTTGATCTATGTATTGTTGATGCAGCGAAGCCACAAGTGGATGCTGTTTTTAGTGTTGAACGAAAGGAATTTCTTGAAAAGCAAATGCGTTATACACCAATTCCATATAGTGAACTATTTAAAAATGAAAATTCAGTAATATTAATATCTGGAATTGCTGGTATTGGGAAAACATGGTTGCTTAGAAAATGTTTGCTTGATTGGTCAAATGATTTAATTTGGAAAAATGTTGAACTTGTTTTTTATTTAGAATGCAGGAGAATTAATCAATATGAAAATGTTTCAAATATTAATGATCTACTAAGCGTTTTCTTCAAAGATATTATAAGTAATTTTAATATTAGTATTGACACTGCACTGTTTATAATTGATGGATTAGATGAGTTTAAATATTTCAATGAGTTATCAAATCCGAGATTAAAATGTAACTATCCGCTTGTTAATGTTTTAGCAGAAATTCAAAATTATAAACATTTAGTTACTGGTAGAGTTTACGCAATTGATCAATACCAAAGTATATATACAGATCAGAGTGATAAATTAACCATTCAAATAATGGGGTTTAATGAAAATGGAATAATGAATTATGTAGAAAATCATGTTATGGAAGAAAATAAAGAAATTGTAAAAGCAATTTTAAAGGAATCTCCGATAGCAAAAGCTATGGCATCTGTTCCTTTTTATTTATCTTCCATGTGTAAAATTATCAGTGATTCGAAAGAAATAAGTACAAGATCTTTCTTAACAATGACAGATCTGTATGCAAATATTTTTTTATACTTTTTAAGAAAACACATCATCAAAAACAATGAAATGATTTATCAAATAATGGAAAACGATTCTAATAAAACATATATTTTATATATTTGTAAAATTGCATATGAATTGTATGTTGTAAATAAAGTAATTTTTTCCAAAAAAGAACTTCAAACTTATATTGATGACTTTGATAAAAATGAAAATTTTTATGGATTTATAGAAAGAATTGAAACAGATCTGGGTTGTTTTTATCAGTTTGCTCATTTGACAATAATGGAGTTTTGTGCATCTGTTTATGCATACAATTGTTTAAATAGTGAAGAAATTATGACCAATGAAAAGCTAAAGAGTTGTTTATCAATGATTTGTGGATTATCTAATACTAGTGAAAATAGTTTAATAAAGTTTCTTGTTAACCTGAATCCTTCAAAAAAATCTTCTAATCCTTCAAAAAATTCCTATAAAAAATCTATTCAATTTATAAAGAATCTATTCAAGAATTCTTCAAAAAAGTCTGATGAAAAATCTATCCTTTTGTATTCTATTTTGGGTAAGTTCAAAATCTTTGTTGCATTATTGTGAGTTATTTTCGATAACCATGCAGGTGTTCAATAAAGTATAAAATATATAGTTTTTTTTCACTTTGTTTTTAATTAAATTAGGAATTTTTTTAAATTAATTAAACCTTTTTTAATAAACAGTAATAAAGATTTGTTTGTTTAAATTTGAAAGATTTTTTTAAATTTTATCATTTGACTTGATTTAAAAAAAAATAAAAAATAAGTGGTTTATATTTTTTGTTTTTTAAATGATACACTTTGCATTTTTGTATTTGGTATATTCAACAACGTTTGGCAAGTTTAAAAAAAAAAAAAAGATATTTCTATTAAGTTGTGGTGTATTAAATTATTGTTCTGATGGAATACCTTGAGAAATGTCCTTTTGGGATAACACATAGGGATACTGCATCAAAAAGATACCTTGGTTTACACACAGAGTGTCCAGTGTTATATAAGAGTACAAAAATACGACAGTTATATATATGTCAGTCTTGATCAGAAGTAAATATATTTATATGTGACCATTATTTTTTAAAAAAAAGTCGAAATTTTTATTTTGAAATCACTCATGATTACACATCTTAAACATCTTTTGAACTTTCATATATTTTCTAAATAAAACATATTGTAAAACATGAACACCTTTAACATAGATATATAAAGAATTGTGCAAACAATTTATGCATTTTTTAATTAAGTTTTGTTACCTAAATAAAAATTGGTATTTCAAAAACCAAACCATCTATATTTGAAGCAAATATGATTAAACTAACTCGTAAACAATTTGAGTACCATTGAATCACTCATTCAATTGACATCAAATGACATATTTGAAACAAAAAACGGACCTTAAAATGACTAAAAACTGCTTATTTTAGAGCAAGACTAACATTAATATTTTTTATAATTGATTTCTTTTATTCTTTACTAAATTGTTTATCAGTTATATCAATTGTTTATCAAGGTCAAGATGTTCTTGTGTTGGGCGTTGAGGTTACGAGTCACCTTGTGGTTTTGCAAGAAAACCATGTATTTGCAAGAAACGATGAAACAAGAAACGATTGTTTTGCAAGAAACGATGTATACATCGTTTCTTGCAAAACAATTGCATAAATATTCTTTCTTCACTTTGTTTAAGATAAATTAAATTAGTATAATATTTGAACTAAAATTTAGGTCTGTCTTTATCAAATAGCAGTTCAATAGTAGTCAAATCAGCATCAAGTTCATTCAAATTTGAAGTCTGCACTGTAAAATGTAATTTTACAGTGCAGAACATACACTTTAACAAGTGTATGTTCTGCACTGTAAAATGTAATTTTACAGTGCAGAACATACACTTTAACAAGTGTCGTTTATTGCAGCATAAAAAAATTCTTTAGACGAACGTTGTTTACTGCATATGAAAACAGTTATATATTATCTTCTTGTAATAGAATGCAGGCATTTTAAGAATTATTACAACAAATAAAAATTCTACAATAAAAGTGAATAATATATCAAAGAAATTGATATATAAAATATAATTAATTACATAAAATAAAAATGATTATTCAGCAATTTAGTGTAATAATTTTTTTAACAGTTAAATAATTTTATATTTGCCAATATAATTAAAAGTGTAGCAAGTTTTTGTTAAGAGTTCAATCTTATCAAAAACATTTACATTTAAATCGGCGCTCTTTTAATTTTTTTTTTTTTGTTTAGTCGAACGACCATATCTTTTAAAAAGCAGTTGATAAAAAAATACAGTTGAATAAAATTTTTTTTTTTATTGGCTTAGTGTTTTCCATTTTAGTTACAATGATCCGGGTCTGTAGGAACAAAAATTATATAACAATTTTAAAAAGTAGGTTGTATGTAAAATTATAATAAGGTTTTTTCGGTTTTAATCTTTTCGTTTTAAGAACCTGCTACCGCTATCGTGCATTTGGAAATCGGTTGCGATGGTTACAAAATCATATTATAAGCGAAAAGTTTGTTATCAATATTTACTGTTTTTTTCGAATTTATAAAAAGATTTTTTGAAGTTCGATGATCGAGTTTTAAATTTATAAAACTCACTTTTCAATTTATTTTCTTAAAATGCTTTACGGTATCATTTTGTTATCATTGTTTATTAAAATTCACACTGGTAACAAAACTTTTTAAATTTTGTAAGTATTCTTCAGTTTTATAATCAATATTTTCTTTTCATTTAAAAAGTTTATGTTTTGGAACTAAAGTCGAATTGTTTTAAGGCGATACGACGACAATGACCTCTTAAGTATAATTGTGAAAACAATTTTTTTTTTCATTTTTGTTTATTTTGTTGATATATTCAGTGAATTTTTTTAAACAAAAAAAATGCAAGAAAAGATAATATTTAAATTTAATATTTTTGATAATAATTTGATTTCAAGATATAAGCTGATTCTATTCTAAGACTGTAATTTCAAGCGAATTTAATTTTATTCGTTTCATTCGATTTAATAAACATGTAAAATATTCCCACAATATAGTTCAATAATTTGTAAATCGACAGTTCGTCCAAGTTTTAATACTCCTGTGACACTATTGCCATTAGTAGCTTTTTTTTATGTTCTCACCGTAAGTTAAATTTTCTCATTAGAACTTGTGTTTATTTGGTCACTCGTAAAGAGAAATATTAATTTTATAAAATGATAGTGAAAGTAAAAATTTTCTATAAAATGACTGTTACATGAATTACAAAATTTTAAAACAAAATTTTATTTGTTTATCCAAAAAACATGCATTCGATATAATTTATATAAAAATTTAAATTTGATTGAATAGATTATTGGTTCTTCTTAGCTGCGTTAGTTGCTTTTTTTTATGTTTTAATAATATATTTTTTGTAGCCTTATTCAAGAAGCGCTAATTGCATCAAAATTTAATTTATAAGTTGTATAAAAGTTGCAAATTTTTATTGATTTTCTTCAAAGTTTCAAATCGACGTCGAAATCGAATCACCAAATATTTGAACCCTCACTCTTTGACGTTTTTTCATATTTATTTAATTAACTTATTTTAAAAAAGATTGTCGAAGGAGATTTTCTATGTAAATTTTAAATTTGAACAAGTTCTGTAGGAATTCGGTTTATAAATACATTGAGTTCTTTACAAATTTGCATATAAATAAACAGGTTTTCCTTTTTATCTTCTTAAATAAAAAAATGATGATATTTATTTCGAATGTCAGTATGAATAAATACAGCATTTTTTCTATGTTAAACATATTTTTAATCTGTTTTATGTTATTTTAAGTAAAAAATATATTTTATATATGTTATTGGTTATTAAAAATTATAAACACAACATTTATAATAAAATTTCTTAATATAAAAATTATGTTCAAAATAATAAAATTAGTAAATTTTTTATAATTTTTATTAAGAAGTTATTTTGTTTAAAAGTTTTGTTAAGATTTATATGTAATTCATTTATTATTAATGTAATTATGTTTATTATATTATAATATAAATATAATATATTTATTAATAATATGAAAATGTATTCAATTTTTTATTTAATTATAGTGTATTAATTATATTTGTATATAGAAAAGTAATAATATTATATGTATAATATTACAATTTTGATTATTATTTTATTTTTTGTTTTTTATTTATTTGTTTATTGTTATATTTCACATTTAATTTTTCTTTAGACCGCAAAGTAATAAAGGTTTTAATGAAGATTTCAATTTTTTCTACGAATGTTTCTACGTTTCTTCTAAGTCAATCGTCATTCACTGATGAAATAAAATCAATTGTTGATGAACAAAATAAACGAACGTTTGGTTGGACGATTTCGATTGACGATGGAAAAACTTCTTACGCAACTTCTTGCGATAATTATTTCGTAAATTATTACATAAAATCTGGAAGAAAGTTAAAGTGGTTAATTGTTAATAAATATATTTTAAGTGATGAAGAAAAAAATCTTTTAATTCGTTGTTCAACTAATGTTCGCGTTGTCATCTTTTATCATCCAATTGATTTCAAAGGATGGAAACCGAAAGATAAGATTGAAGTGTTGTGGATATGGATCTTAGATTATTTAATAACAAAAAAAGATTTTAAAGAAAATTTTCTTCCTTGGATTAATCTTTGTGAAGAATTAGATCTTCGACTTCACGACGACATTGATTTCTTTAAAGACATTTGTGAATGGATTCGTTGTTCGAACATCAAGTATTTTGAGATCAAGTACCGTGGAAAATATTTTTCTAACCTCGATGAATTAACTTTATAACGCGGGAAAATGTTTAATATTTTAAATATATAAAATAAAAACAATAATTATAAAATAATAAATGAAATATTTAATGTATTTTTAAATAGTAAAAAAAAAAATAAAAAATTGAATTATTTAATTTATTTTTTTATAAATTTATTTGCTTTAAATATTCGAAATAATTTAAATATATTGGATTTAAATAAAAAAGTTCAATATTATATTATTGTATTATTTATATTTATAATTAGTTCTTTTTAAAATATATTAGTTAAAATAGTAATTACATAAACTATTAAATATATATTTATATTTGTGGTACATAGTTTTTCATGTTCGAAAGTTAAATTCATATAACTTTTGCTTTATATTAAATCAGACATTAAGTTTTATTTCGATTAAACTTTTTTATATATTAATTATTTAAAAAAAAAATTAAATTTTACTTAAAAAATAAAAAATTTAAAGTTTCTTATATTTATTTATTATTTATTATTATTACGCTAAAAGTCATGTTGGCAGAACACATCGGTTTTTTGCAAATGTAAAAATGCCAGAGCATTAAATAAGTTTAGGATAGTTGACAATTTCGTCCAAAGATAATAAACTTAATAATAGTTTTAAAATTGATGTATTTGATAATAACTTTAAGTAATAATTTAAGTATATAAAAATGTCGGTACTTTTGTACTAAAATTGATGCGGATATTCTAACTTTTTTTACTGATAGTTCCGCTGGTTTTAGAATTACTTATATTGCTAAAACTAATTCAAATATTAAAGTCAGCAATATCGGCAGTATAAGAAAAGAGCAAAACCGCCTCAATTTTACTGCAGGGGTACTGTCATTTTTCATTACTTAAATAAGACATAAGCTTTTAAAATTCTTTATTTGTATAAATAGTCACGTCCTATTTCTTCTAGTGCGTTTTATAAACAATGTTTAACCTGCACCAATCTATAATTAATTTTATAAAGAAGTTCCATCTGCCTCTCCATGGCTGATAATTTTTAACTCAAATAAAACTAACAGTTATCACAACAATCAAGATCTTCCTAAAATTATGAACGGCAATGTACATCTTCGTTTGGCCTTTAAGCAGTGGCTTGGCGACAAAAAATAGGCCTTCCCTTAAAATTTTAATCCTAAATTATTTCTCTCTCTCTCCTCCCCCTCAGAACAAAAAGAAATTATACATGAAGACAAAAGGCGTTATTTTTAAATACAATTTTGATTTAAGTTAATTGAAACAAGTATGTTACATATTGTATAGCTAAGAATTTGTAATTCTTAGATATACAATAAAAGTAAAAATGTTATTAAATGTATTTGAAAAATATGGCCTAGGCCCCTAATAAGTCTGGGCCCTCCTACGGTTGCGGGCCCGTCGATACGTTTCTGTCTTTAAGATACAAAAATTATTTCCGATATTCTTGGTAACTACAAATTCAAATCCATGGCAACATAAGCATCTGATAGGGTTGCATCCCTTTATCGTGCTCGCTACTTCTTATTTAGGAATCTATTCTTTATCTCAATAAATCTCAATGCCCTTTTTCTTTTAGGTAAGGTGCACAAACGCATTGTAAACATAGTCGGACCCGCTATTGCAGCAAATTTTTGTATTAAATGTAAGTAGTATTAAAAAATCTATTTAAGTCTTTCCTCTAAAATTAAATTTTTTTAAATTTCTTTACAGAGAGTTCTCCTAATTTAAATTTGGTAGTGGTTATTTTAGACAATTTTTTGTCGTATAAGAATGGTCATGAATTAAATATAAATTTTATAAATAAATATTTATACAAAAAATTATGGTCCAAAAATAAGTAACTATTAAATTTGGATAATCTTCAACCATGAAAGACATTCTTGTTTTTGTTAGATACAAAACAAACAAATAATGCTATAAAAAACAAATCAACGCTATATAATATCACAGCAAAGAGTTATAATATCACAACACAGAATTATAATATCACAATACAGT